GTTCATTCTGTACATCCCCATTGTATAAGGGGCTTTTCTGCACTTTGCCAGACATGTATATGTACTGGCCCTTGGCCCTCAATAAAGAGTTAGTTGCTCACTTATCTAACAATTTGTTCTGCTTTGTCTATCTTATCATTACAAATCACATGTGTAGATAGGCATGGATCACCTTATTCGTAAGAAAAGCCAAAAGGCATTTGGGAGGGTCCTATGAAGCAATTTATTTTCATTCTGAGAACGATCCAGCTTAAAATCCAAGTCAGTGCATGTCCTTCTGATTTTGTTAACAGCCATAGGCCTTAAATATATACCAGCCTAGAGGAACCAGACAAACTTTGCTATCAATAACTCGATGGACAAGAGGTATAACAAATGTGTTAATAATTGAGGAAAAATACTATCAAGTGTGTCGGCCTTTTGGAGCTGCTGCGTACCATTTAATCTGTGCTTTCTTGGACGCCGTAACATGCTGCTTGAGCCCTTCAGGAACCTAATAATATGACAAACAAAATAGTCTTCACACATGTCACGTCATAGGAAAATAAGAGGCAGAAATTGGAGCAAAAGAGATGATTAAGCTTGCCGTATGTATTATCAGTTGTGAAGCATCTGCAAGCTTTCATACAAATGCTAGTTGTCGCAATGTGGCATGCTTAAATTTCGATATTATTAATGAACATGTTCATCCAAAAGTTGGACACAAAATAAGTTGGTTTGTGAAATTTGTATGAAGCGGGTAAACCACATAGAAAAAGGCTGCTATTATGGCTTTAAGCTTAGATTTTCTAGGAGTGCAGATGTTTATCTCCATCGCATTTTCTATGAATGAAGAACCTTTAAATCGTACATACTAGAAAACAGTAGAAAGGCCAATTTACACATGCACACATAAAGCACAGTAATGGAAAGAAACACATCCTCATCGTTATGAATCAGCATAATCTGTGACCATTGCATGAAGACTTATAGTGAAGTTGAAGCTAAAACATAGTACTACTACTTCAGTAGCTAGGGAGACTTAATCTGACTTCACAGGGGATTTTCATGAACAAGATGAATACGGAGAGTGGTGGGTAGGGTTTGAGTTACCATGGACGCGCTCTCAAAGTTGAGGAGGTCGTGCGCCAGGGAGGCGACTCCATGGCCATCAGCTTGCTGCTGCTGCTGCTGCTGGGGGTAGTGGGGCCTGGAGCCTGGATGGTAGTAGGGGTAGTGGTCTTCTTCTTCGTCTCCCCTGAAGCACTTCAGGATGTTCCCCATGGATTCCCCCTCCTCCTTCTAGCTCTTCTTCTTGTAGCTCTCTGCTGCTTCTTTTCTCTCTCTGAACTGTGAAGTGTGATGATGGCAGAGAGAGATTCTAGCCCATGGAGCGTAGTGAAGAGTAAAGTGGAGGAAAAGAGTGAAGTGTGATGTGATGTGACGGTGGGGTCTGCCCAACCCGCTCGCTGCTGGAAAAGAAAAAAACAGAGAAGACTAGACTAGACTAGCAGCAGGAGACCTGACCTTCGTTCAGAGAGCCAATAAACAAGAACAAAACATTGACTTGGGTTTACCGGTTGAATAAAACCAGTACCGGTTTCGTTGCTTTTAGATATTCGCCATGCCGAAGAAATGATAAAAAATTCTCTTTGCCAAGTCATAGCCCCAGAATTTGCTAGGTAATCTACGGATCTGGATGTAATTTTTATTATTTTTGGTATTCGTTGTACTGTCATGATTAAAGATGGATAAATCGAAAGTTTTCTTGCAAAAAAAGGCCATAGCCCTAGAATTTTTAAATATTCTCACAAAAAAGTTTCATTCCGTTACGGCCTCTTTTGGTTCATAGGGAGAAATATCATAGAAAACTCGTAAGGATAGGATAAGAGATGTTTTTTAGTTCATATCGTAGGAATTTTAGGGCTAGGATAAGAGATGTTTTTTAGTTCATATCGTAGGAATTTTTCATTGGCTCTAGGTTAATGTTTATTTTTCTATAAAATGTGAAGGATAGGAAGAATTTCTCTCCATAGAAATATGATTCTATTCCTAAAATCCAAAGGACAGTAAAGGAATTCCTTCTATAGAAATCCTATCCTACAAAATTCCTCCAACTAAAGGAGGCCTACATGTTTGAGCTCACGTTTTTAGAGGATTTATGGAATCGTCAAATTTCGATGTTTTTCGCCATCCTTTTCTCCCGTCGATGCTTCTACACCTTGGACCCAAAACAATGAAGACTTTTTTTGGGGACGAGAACAATAAACTTGAACTATAAAGCAAATCAGGATAGGTGGAGCTCAATTTGACAACAAATCAAAAGCAAAAATTGTATTTTGGGCAAACTTTGGGTAAACAGAGCATGCCAAATCATCAGCCACGATTGTTTTTGAGTTTTGAAAGGCATGGCAGGTTC